CCCATGCGGGGCTGGGCGCGCGCCAGGGTCCCGCGCGCTCCTCCCCGCGCGCCGGGCGGGCGGCGTTACGTCGGCGGCAAGAATAGAAATGGTGGGCAGATCTGGCCAGATGGCAGAAGGTGGAGGAATCGCAGAGCGTGCTGAATATTAACAGCTCCGGCCCCTCCGTCAGCGCCAGCGGAGGGGGACAGGGGAGCGGTTCGGCACCGTCGGTCCCAGCCCACCGGCAAACCCATCCCCATGTCCGCGGGACACCAGCCAGAGCCGGGGCGTCCCCAGCTCCATCCCACACGGGTGTTTTGGGACCATCAGGAGCTTCCCAGAGCCCCCGGGCACCCGGGCCCTGTGGGTGTCCTTGCTCGTGGCACAGCCCGGGTGGGCAGACGGCTCCTTCGCAGCTTTGACGGGGCCGGGGGCTGCCGTGAAGCTTCCCGAAGGCTCCTCTGCTCCCCGCGGAGCCGCCGAGCCCCCAGCCCCCTGCTCTAATGAGAGGTGACGAGAGGAACGTGAATCACACTCCACACATCTCAGCAAAACCGGAAAATTATTCAGCTCCTTAAGATTCAGGACGGGGAGGTCTGACTCAGAGCGGCAGCCAGCGCCGCTTAATTTTTTATAGATTAAAATGTATGCAAATTGGCCCAAACCCCAGAGAAAGTCCCTGGGGGTGAGAAGCAAGAAAGTGAAATAGCAACAGCCGCGGGAGGGGGTAGCGGGCGGGCGCAGGTGCCCCGTGGTCCCTGCCTGCTGCACCTGGGCCATGGCCAGGTAGCTCTCGGTGTCCTGCCCGGTCTCCGTGTGCCGTGACGGGAGCCTGTCGGAGAAATCCCGCTGCTCCCGGGGCCGGTGGATGCTGCACTGGTGTCCTGCAGCATGAGGAGATGCGGGAGGACACCTGGAGCGGAGAGAGCCCCGCGGGTGGCTCTGGAGGGTCCAGCCAGGCTGGAAAAACATCCCGTAATCCGTGATGCCGAAGGGGCACTGGGAGCGGCACGGCGCCGGGCCAGGGTCAGCGGCACCGGCTGCGCTGGACCGGCGAGAGGAGCAGGAATAATCACCCGAGGCAAATCAAAGGCGAGCAGGGGGCTCCCCTTGATGTTTTAATCAGTTTGGTGTCACCGGAGCCTTTCATCAAACTACAGAGGGAAGAGAAGTCAATTAGCATCTACCTGCCTCCGACACGGCCCGCGAGCCGCGTTCCCACCGGCCTGGATCGGGATGCGGCCGCGGGAGCCGGGAGCAGCCCCGTGCTGCCCGGTGCCAGCCGGGAGGACGCAGTGACACAGCTGTCCCCAGCCAGCGCCCAGCCGCTCGCTACAGCTGGGAGCTCATGAATATTGAGCGCGTGGGGAGGTTATTCATCTTTTCCGTCCTGCAAAGCCTGGCTCATTCTAAAAAACAGCCCGGCCTTAGCATTTTTCTCATCTTCCCCTAATTCATTATCTCCTCCTTTAAACAGATGGCTCCCAAAACCCCATTTATAAAGTGCCACACTCAGCACTGGCAGGACGCACACCCGAGCGCTCCGGGTCCCGGCCCGGAGGCAGGGATGGGGGCGCATCCCACCACGGATCCCTGCCTGACGGGACACCGGGACCACCCAGCCCAGCGGGCACAGGACAGAGGGGACAACAACAAGTTTGGGGACGCTGACCCCCAGACAGCACTTGGCTTCCTGCCCACATAGTTTCCTTAGCAGAACCTTTCCAGCTCCTGCATTTCCTATGCTGATTTGAGGGGTAGCTCCTAAGCAGTCCATCCTGAGAGGATGGAGAGGCCGGGCCCCAACGTCCCCTTCCGCCGGCTCCGCAGCCGGCT